ATGGTAAATGTTTACGGTTATCAGACTACTCAATTAGCATTTTCTTGGCTGTCTGCATGTAAAAGGTTGGCCACCTGTGCACTATGTACTGACAAACATGTACATTTCGTTCACCTTTTAGTTATGCATGTTTATGAGCTTTAATCAGAACATTTGTCAATTTGCTCATTATAGACTGTAGCTTTGCAATCGTGGTACTTTTTCAAGGTACAGATAAAGTATTTTTAAATTTGAATGCATTTCCCCGGAGGTTATGGATAAGGAATCTCAAATCTTTCTGGATGTTTTGGAGAGGGATCTTCTAGACTTCATACCCATGTGACATTATAACCTAACAGTTTGAATTTGAAAAGGTTCGCAGTGTAATTTTTCTGTAAACATTAACATGTTTTTTCCCCCCACTAATTGAGTGTGCTTGTCACATGTGGCAAATGCACCTTCTGATGAATGTGACCAGATTCATACATTCAAATGCTCCTTTTCACATGCTCGTACTGATATTTAACTGTACACTGAGCTCAGGAACAAACAAATATTTTGTAACCAAGCCAGGTTTTTACCAAATCTTTTCTGAGTCTTTGGGTTGCAATATTTATAACCCAGAATTGCAGAGAGTTCAATGAAATATTTATCACGGACAAATAGGTAAAATGCAAATATGAACTAAAATACTTATTTTTAGCAAATGTTGATGAATATAATTGTAACACACTGGTGTAAAAAACAAAGGACTCAATTATCCTGATTCCCAGTGTCATGGATTTTGCTGTTTACCTTTTTGTGTAGTATACTGTACATGTAGTCTTACATTTTTAAAATATAGTGCTCTAAATCAAATTATTTTGTAATTATTGCTGTACTCACTGGTACATTTTGTGCTTTCCAATCCAAGTTTCACAAAATTTTGCAGTTTTGTTTAACCATCATATATTTTACTGCGCAGAGAGTCAAAAAGTTTGTTCCTTTAAACAAAAACAATAAAAAGCCTAATTTCATGTCTTTATTTTTCTAAAGCACATATTTACAATTTGAAAGTATTTTCATAGTATGGTTACATTACAATGGTACTTAAAATGTTAATTGTATAATACAATTTTTCTAGATATATTTTATGTAATTATATATTATACAGATAGACATACAGTATACAGTATGTGGTATTTGAGGATGGACATATTCATTTACTGCATTCATGTATATATACAGTACTGCAAGTATAGTCTCCATATGTACAGTATATTACCTACAGTACTTATGCATATTAATGTCAATAACTCTGTAAACGTTTTAATTGAAATATTGAAGCAAATTATCCGTTATTCAAATTAAATTCTATCCGTTCTAATGGAATATACAACGTTTTTTTTTTCTTTAGCTTTCATCGGGCTATGTGGTTGCCTTCGCTACCTGAATTTCAATTTCTTAATTTACAACACAGATAATGTAGGCTAGAGCTGGATCTGTGCTGTTCTCGCCAATGGGTTTGTTCTTATCAAGCGTGAAGTTTGGTGCATTGCAAACCTATTCAAGTGATTATCTGTAGAGGACCTCTTGAGCCATCACCATCTCTGCAGTCTGCTGATAAGACAGCTGTTCCTATGTCTGCTGTCTCTCTGCGGACCTCATCCTGTTTTTGATACAAACTAAAGCTTTGTTATTGTGCCCTAGCGCTGTCACTTTCAATGTTTTTAAAACGTTTGATCTTGGACAAAAACGATTGATGTAATTGATTGACCGCTTGTAGTCTGTGAAAAGCTACTTTTTACACGTTTTAATTTTCGCTGAAAGTACTAAAAGTTTAATAGGAACGATATCCTATTAAAAATCCAACTTCGGCTGCGACTTCCAGCGAATGAAGTTATAACGGTTGAAACCACCAAGACATTATGCTATTTTTAATTAAAAAAAAGGTTAAATCAGAAGTGAATACAAGAATATGGAGTACATTTTATAAAAGCTTTCATTGCAACAAAACTGTTGTTTTCAACGGCTGCTACTTTAAACGATTTATTGATGACAAATAGTAATTGATTATTCTTGCTGGTACTGTATGTTCTAAACTTGGTGTGGCATTATCTTTTAAAAACTATAATACCAGAAACCTCTTAGGCCAAAATAAAAAAAAAAGTTTAATTTTATGTATAACTTGAGCACTCAAATTACAGTTGTCTGTTGATGCATAACACAATTTGTGTCAAATCATTTAATACCACAATATTATTTAACGAGTCGTTGTTGAATCACATTTTGGTGCGTACTGTATGTTTAGGGATGCCAACGTGTTGAGCTACAGGTCTGTTTGTCGGATTTGTAGGCTGGTCGTCTGTCCTTTGTACCATTAAACTGGTGAACAATTATTAACGCAGTCATGCCTGCGTTTGTTCCATACTTTTCCAAACTGAATCCGAATTGATTGGAAATGGCTTCCTGCCTCGCTGAACCACGTTTATAAGAACTGGAAATGTTCAAAGTTCCCGCCACAAACATTTTGCTGGCAGGACCACTCAGTCAGTGAGCGGAGGGTTAATATAAACCTACAGTAGACAAATCACTTTAGAGTCAGTACGAGGTTAATTGTGTATTAAGCTTATCAGCAGTATACTCAAAAATGTTTAGAACGAAACCTTATGTTGAAACAGATACAACGCAATACTTGCATGAAATTAGAAAATTGCAGTTTATAAGGTTTATTTTGGTAACGCCATTTCCTTAAGAAAACGTGAAACAAAACACTGATATATTTGTTTTCTGATTTCAACGCGGAAAACAATGATTGAACATACATTCTACATTTTGAGGTTCATGTGTATGATGCAGACACATACAGAGTAGTAACATTATTTTTGTGTAGTATATTCAATTTGATACACTTTGCTTAAGACACGATTAAAGTTACTGCATGTATATCATTTCCTGCGTAAAAAGCAGTGTAGGAAAAAAACAAATCTAGAAAAAAACAAGAAAATCCTCCTGCTGCTCATTTCATTTCAGTCATTTCTGCTGCTGTCCCAGGTGCTGAAATCCGATTTAAGTTCTACACTGCTTAGTTCTTCACAGATATTTTTAAGATAGTTTCTCACACTTTACACGTGCAACAGTAAATTGTAGACATACAGTAATACTGTTAACTTTTACATTATTCAATCAACACATAAATTAATTTCCTACAGCCAAGCGCTGGACATTGTCTACCTGAAGCAATACTGAGATGAAGAATAAGTGGCTAAAATAGTTATTAATTCACAATAATGAATTTAGTTGGGCAACAGCTTATTCCTTCTAATGTATTGATATTACAAATGTTAGGATTAAACTTTTTTTTGTGAATTAAAAAAATACTAAATTCCTTGTTCTAAGGGAATTACAAATGCAGCCTTGTGGAACATTGGTTAGAATTCTCGAGTCCAGAAAGGAAGGTCATGGGTTCACAATGGGATTTTTCTCTCAGTTGATTTATCGGTTTGAATATATACTATTGGCTTACCTTCTTAAATATAATAATTGGGAAACGTTTATGTATTTGTCTTTTCTTCCTTTTCAGATTGATGAGAATGAAAAAGATAAGAGATAGGACAATAACCAATCAGTATCCACTCGGCATGAAATTGCAAAGTTATACTAATATTGGAACATGTTCTGGAAATAATACTGTATATGAACGGCTTTACCTTCAAAATGTCAAAAAGAAAAAAAAGGCAAATTCATAATAAATATGACCATCATAACTGTAAAACTATTATAGACCTATTCTCCACGTTTGTGTAAATATTCCGTTGGTTTTGATTTTACAATTTAAAGATCGCCCATATTGTACTCATGCGGCTTGGATTTCAAACTGAAGTAAGCTGGAGAGGAGTGTTATTAAGGCTGCAGCTTTTGAATCATTTATAGAAAGATGCAGTCAAGGGCACTTTCAAGGTACATCGCTTTGATTCCCGCGCATGTTTGTGAATAATTTCTGTACACGCAAATATCAGGGGGGTGGATTTGACTATTGTGAAGCCTAAAACAAGTCAACAGAGTTCCCCATGACCCGGTCATATTGAGAAATACTGAATCCGACAATAATGTCAAATAGAAGTATTCTTTTTTTCCATAGTGGGCTATGGTGACTACAGTAAAAACAAACAGGAATAAAAAGGTTACATTTTCAAAATGCTCATATCAAACATAAAATTCCATAACACTGGAGACAGCTTACTCTAAAGTCTAGGATGTATCTTGTTACTGAAGAAGTCATAGACCACAAACTGTAAGCAGTAACTTTTTTTGAAACGCAATTGACTTTCTTCACATTCTGCATTGAAGTCTGTATGTTGTGGTAGTTTGGTCAAATGAAATCCCATGCGTGTCCCCATGCTTTAATACAATATTTAAGATTCCATATGCATTTAACCTCGTTTTGTTGTGCACGGCAAAAGAAATGCATTCATCAAAATAAGACAGGTTACAAAGCTGTTATGTTATATTAAAAAAAGACCGCACATGGGTCGGGTTCGATAAAGAATGATCTTCTTCATTAATAGGTGTAAATAGTCCTGCGATCACCCCGTTTGATTTAGTCGAAACCGGACGGAGTTGATCAACGGACGTGTCACCCTTGTAATCCTGTTGTTTGACCAAAAAAAAAAAACCGAAACAAGTGACAAAAAATGCTCCCTATCCTCCTTTTGGTTTACACGCCTCTCTTCTTCGTTTGGGAAAGCTTTGTTTGACACTTCAACCTACATGGTGAGGGATTCTCAAGATCCTCTTGATTGAAAGAAACATTCAACCAATGGAGTTTCCGAGCTGCTGGAAGGGACGACTCCTGGACTCATAATACAGCCAATTGCATCTACACCTCAAAACAACATGGTAGATAGAGCTATTCCTAAGCGTATACTTCCGCGTGCATGTGTGTGCACGAATGTGTATAGATTGAAAGGATGTTGCACCGTTAGTGCGGAGAGGTATAACATTGCTGTGATACGGCTCTATATATCCACCGGCAGGACCACCTTCCATTTAAAGACAACCTCCTGCTCACTTCGGGTCTCAGTTAGTGATGTTGCTTAATTTTGTGGTGAACCTGTGAAGAGAGAGGCAGAAGCCGGCTCTTTTTTTAATTCTTTGATTCCTTCTTTTGTTTCTTCAGTTGTTTCGTTTTCTTTAATCACATCATTGCTATTGTTTTCAAAGGATCCATTGTTTTTTGTTTTGTTAAATAAATATATTTTTAATTTAATCCTGATTATTTATTTTAAGTTTGCTTATTTTATACTCGCGAGGTTCATGCCAGAGTTAAGGGAATTTATCTTACAAAACCTTGCTTAGTAGATTCTTGTTTGGTTCTTGTGTTTAAGACAAAGTGCACTATTTGGCTATATATCTCCTAACACTAAGGACGTCTGTAACTTTGGTTTATAGAAACGGTAAGCATTTTTTAGTTTCCCTTTTAACATGTCACATGAAAGTATTTTAATATGATGTTGCAATAAGTGACTTCAAATTTCCAGTTGTAATGTGTGCATGTTTCAGTGACATTATCATCATCATTGTTGTTACTATAATTACTAGTAGTATTAACATAATGAGACTGAATTTATTGCCTATAGTGCAAAGTCTCTTTAGTGAGGTTAAGTTTACTGTATGTCGTCCGGACATGATGTTGTCCTATACTGGAAATGAATAATAGTACGTTTTTCATATTTTAACGTATTTTTTCTAATGCACGTAAACTATATTTTTGTTGTCAGTTTTAAGTCATGTACAGTATAACTTTACCGATTAAAACGACGGATCAGTGATTTACGAACAAGCACCACTGTGGAGGTGTTTACAGTAATCGCTTTCAAATAGGTGTTACAGCACCAAGATTATGCGATGTAATACCGAACACAGTTATTGCATGATCTCTGGGAAATATGCTTACTGCCAGGCAACTTTTCCGTTCGGTTTAAAACCGCAACAGACATTACATTAAAAACAAAAATCATAGAATAAAAAGTGATGTCCAGCTTAGACTACAGACAATAGGAAACGGCAGGCTGTGGAGCAGTCCTTGGTACTCATGAATAACAGCTACCTGGATGCTGCGATTCGTTTTTTTTTCCTCGACATTAACGGATTTCGTACATTAGCACTACAACATATTCGAGAAACGACAATCTGCCTTTCTAATGGTAGCTTATTATGTAGTGATTGCAAAGGTAGTTAACGCTATCCATTTCTCTGTCTATACGTACGTCTGCAGTACTAGTCTTTTTCACTTAATGTGCGCCGGGAGCTGGTCTCACTAGTGTACTGTAACTCCTTGCCTTGTGAAGCTCATGAAGGGATGTACAGTACGGTAACTGCACTAACAGGTACACCTTCCGCAGGGTAATAAATCAGAGTTGCGGCACTTGTGGATATCTAATCCGAGAAATCACAGATGAAGGACATTAGGACTCAGCCTATGGGTTGGAATGGATGTATGGATACATTCACTGATAGTTATGTTTGAAAGTGAGGGATTGTTTTAACGACGAAGAAAATAGCGGCTACAGTAGATCCAGAACCGCACGGACTGTTGAATGCAAGGAACGGTACCAATACTCTTAACTAAAGTAAATGAAAGAACATTTGTGATGATCTATTAAGTTGCGTTTCTTCGGGATCCTGCACATTCTCTAGTGATTCAGAAGTGACAGCGAAGGAAAATTTATATTTTCAGTATCTTTAATTACATGATAACTATATTTAGCCAATATTTCTAATGCTGGTACATATAATTTTGTCTTGACTAATTTTACCTAAATGTGAATCTGCTGCCTTAAATCTTAACATTTTCTTATTTTAATACATGAATTAGCTTCTTAAACACAATATCTTCCTGGTAATTTCCATAATCTTTTTTCTAATCTAAATGGTATATGGTGTTTTTTACACATTTCATTAATGAAAATAATTGTATTGCTTAGCTTTAAACCATTGGCATTAGAAGATCACAACTACCTGTGAAAACTAAAAAGCAAAGCTTTTTTTTTAAAAAAAATAATCTTCAACTGAGAAGTGGTAACACCTGAGAGAACTTAAAGAGCAAAGGTGTCCTGACTTACGATTTTACACCCACCCCCCAAAATAATAAATCGATTGGTGCGTCTAACTTCTCGCGATTTCGGTTTAATCCGCCCCGTCGGGCAGATCTCTGTGTTGATTGGCCGGGTGAGATGTCAATTCCCTTGGCTGGATGTTCCGCACTCGCCCTTTTAGCTCACGAAGCGCTGGCGGGCTCGCGCTAGCGTGGGAAGAAGAGATCAAGCTCGTGGTGTTTTATGGACCGGCTACTATAGACTTTTGCGCCGCATTTCCTACCAGAGGTACCAATACACATGTCTTTTGAACAGGCTTTTTAAATTTTCGAATAGGCTGCGGCTCAGGCCGTATGCACGGAAACGGCCCTCGGTATAATCGTACGGCAGTTGCGCTCAGTATGTGACATATAAGACTGATATTGGCTGTAATTTGATATAGATTTGAAGCTGCGGTTGTTCTTTTATTTTTTAAAAATGTGCACTTGTTACTGTTGCTTCCTAATGCATAAGTGTACTGTAGTATACTGCAACGTATACAAACGTTATCAACTAGAGCACAAAAATGTAGTTTATAGTCGCACAAGTGTGCAAGAAGCTCGTGCATGCCTTTCGATCAGAAACTAAGAATCGCAAACCGTGTTCAAATTGAATCGCGAGTGAATTTGGAAACCCCTTGTTGTAATCGTGTAAGGAAACTGCGTATTCCGTTTGCGTTCAAATGGAATTAAGGTGCTCGGCTTCGCTTTTCGTTCCAGCTGCACTCGGCACGACTTAATTGGATTAATCAGTTGCTTAATGGGAAGTTCACGTGCAGTTCCAGATCTTTGCTAAATGATCTTTTTTTTTAACTCGGTGAAATCCATCTTTATTCAAATTTAAGAACAGTTCGGAAACTCGAGGTGAAAGAGAAATGGCAATTGAATTTAACATTTGGTAATGGTACTGTACTACGGTTTTCCCCGTGAGGCGGTGTAGCGAGTGGACCACTTTTTTTTCTTCCCCTCCAGAGCGCTTTTAAACGTGCGAAAAGCGGCAGCAATGCTTTCTTGTGGGTTCCACTCTGTGGCGAAGAGAAGTACTACAGTTTGCGAAGGTCTATCCAGTACTCTGTATCGGTAGTGTTGCGCCAGAATCTAAAAGATTTTAATACGGCGTTCGGTCATCTGTTGAGTTATGCTAGGCATGTTTGGTCAGGTGTAGTATTTAATGAATATTCATACTTAAATACCTTGCTTAGTCTTAAATGAGTACGTGAAGTAGGGTTTAGTTAACTGTCTATTGCAATTCCTCTATTTTACGATCTATAAAGCTTGTGCATGTTGTAAACTTATTCGTCATACTGCGCTGCTAGGTAAAAAGCCATTCTTCATCATGACATAAGTGTCAAGTATATTTTCCACTCTTTGCTTTGTCTCCTAGACGGTGATCTTATTTCTAGTGTTGTTGTGAATCATTTAGGTAGACATGAAATAAAAGGTCTATTTTCAACGTGTTTTATCAAAACTTGTGTGTCCTTCAGAGAGCGAGCATGTTTTGCAAAACCATTGAACTTTGAACTTTCAAAACAAATAAGCTGCGTATTTTTCCGTTTTCTGTGAACCACAAAAGAGGACCTTTGGTTAAGAGCAAGTGTTTGCTTAAACCTATAGAGCCTTTATAAACCAGTTAAGGAATGAAAGTTCAAGAAGGTAAATTTGTGTGTACAGTAAACTTTCGGTTTGTATTAGTTTCTGAAAGATGTATAAATGTATGTAACCCTCTAGTTTCATTCAATAAATAGACCTTGATACTTTAAAATAGAGCTATTCATGTTGTATTACATGCATAGAGCCTGAAGCCTGCAAAACCTAAATACGGAGCAATACGTTGTTTCTGTTGCTGCAGATATAATGTGCACATTATACTGAGCATCGGAACACCACTAACCTGCAACCACTGAGTTATCAGGCAAAGGACAACTTTTATAGCGGGTGGGTTGGACAGACATGACAGGCAAACTCATTAAGCTGATCCACCTTTATCACCAGGCTTGATTAATAGGTGTTGACCATGAAAACCACAGTCTAGTCTGTAGGAAGTAGCAACACAAGCTACATGTAGGTGTACAGTATGTTACACTTTGCTGCGGATGCTGTCTTGTGGGATTCAGCCCCATGCTGTTCATAGGACAAGCATGTGCCTGTTCCCTTATCTTTGAATCCGAGGTGCCACACACACACCTCATTTAATCTTGTTTTCAGTGGTGTCCTGGGTCTGGTGAGTGATAACGGTCTTGGGCACTCCACATTTCACATCTTTCAAGACGGCCATTTTACAGGAGCAGCATCATAAGCTTTGTCTTGGATAATGAAGATAACAGGTGATTGAAGAGTTCAGAATGTCTCGGGTGGTGGAGTAACACTAACTTTGTCTCCCTTGTAAAACCACACCGTACTGTCTGAAATTATCCAGTTCACTTGTGTGAATTGCTGTGACAGCCATATAACATTGTGCAATAAACTGAAATTAGTGAACTTTTCAAATGTGGGGTCAAAGTGTCTTTCCCTTCTTCCCCCCAAGTACCAATACCACTGGTAGAGCTCTGCTGCAGCTGAGTTTCAGCTAAATTGATGCAGTTTTCTTGCTGGTCCGGTAACCAGTGACTTCCCTGTACTTCATGGGTTCCAGCAGGCTTACCATTCCTTAAGTTGCTGCTACCTCCTGTTAGTTGCTATGGAGCTTTTAAAATTATACTGGGATAGGCACTGCTGGTCCTCAGGTAGAAACATATGTTAATTCTAATATTGATGATTGACTCAATGAGCTCAGAACTACTGATTCTAAATGCTGAATCAGTAGTTCTGAGCTCATTGAAAGGCATCTCTAAAATCTGTAGGAATCTGATACGTGGAAACTGGAGTTGTCATTCATTGAATAACAGGAGCTGATTCTGCAGTTGGACTTTGTATGGTGTGAAAGCCCTTTAATTTTATTCTAAGGAACATGGCAATATTACTTGCTTGCTACCAAGTCTCTATAATGATTTATAGCAGTAGTAGATAAAAGAACAGTCTGTAATACCTCTTTCCTATTTTTAGTTTCATTCTTGTGGACTTCACTGCAGATTTGAATGTAGTTCAAATCCACAGAGGTAAGAGTTTATTTCCCATTTAGGTGATAATGTCATGGAACTCGATTTATGAATTAAGATAAGTGACAGTTTTTAAGCATTGGCCCTGTTTAAAGGTGTGACATGTAAGTTTCATTGTGCAGTCACGCCTTCAGTAAACAGCTCAACAAGGTAGGTTTTATGGCAAAATATTCCAAGGAGGTGATTAATGAGCCCAAGGGTTTTATATGGATTTGCCTGCTAAATA